GCCAAGTACATTTTTCCAGCAACCCCCAAACAGGTTAGACACTAAAGAGGACCCCAAAACAGTCACCCCCCTTTGCGCGACTGTTTGCCCGTACTTTTTTGTAAAGAAGTTATCTTAAGTTTGATGGTTTGGGGGCCACGGCAAAAATGAACTTCCTAGATCCAAGGCCTTTACCCTTTGAGCTGGGAAGACCTTGGTTAGGTGAACCGCCCTAAAAGTAAAAGGCTAAGGCTAAGGCTTGTCTAATCATTTCAGCAACCCAAAAAGCCGTTGGACTAAAGAGAGCCCCAAAACAGTCACATCAAAAGAGGATCAGGGCCCTTGGTGGGCACCCCCCTTTGTGTGACTGTTTGCCCGCACTTTTTTGTAAGGAAGTTATCTTAAATTTGATGGTTTGGGGACCACTTCAAAAGATCCTGTTTGCCAGGATTTGTTTGCTCGGGTTTTTTGCTCGACTTCTTTGTCAAGTTTGTTTGGCCCATATTTTATCGGAGGCTTAGCCCTAGACAAGATCAAGAGAATCAAAAAAAGAGCACTTGTTTTCTGTGTTTTTTGCAGGGGGGGGGGAATAATTGCTGCAATTGAGGACCCCAAAACAGTCACAAGATCCTGAATCTCGAAAAATATTTGCTGCAATAGAGTGGACTATTAACAAAGGAGGTGTAACATTAGTTGCAACTGTGGCGGTTGTAGTGGTGAGGTGGCTGTAGTTGTATACTTCTCAGGCTGTGTGGTGTGTTGTACTCATAAGTCGATGTCAGTTGCGCGGTGCTTGTTCGTGCTGCTTGCGGTTGCCCTCTTCTCACGGAGGCCGAGTTTATGCTCCCCTTGGACTGGCAGCGGCACCTCATCGCGGACGGCAGCTTTACCGTGGAGTCGGACCGTGCCACGGTGGTGAGGCTTGGGGAAGTGGCCCTGGAGAGCAAACTGCGCACCTTGCAGGCGGCGGGGCCCATGAGCCAGTACCGCCGCTTTGGCCCATGATCCAAGAGTTCCCCTTCGTTTGGGGTACGAAAGGGCTTGGTCTTGGGTATGCTGGCATTCACGAGTATGGTACGGCATGTAGGGCTTTTATGGGAATAAAATACTAGATATGGACCATATGGATTTGGATGGGCCAGCGTGCATAGCCAAGAACCACAGTGACTCGAAAGCCATTGGGCTTCATGCCAAGGCTTCCAAAATCACTCGGCTCATGGAGGATGGCTTCCCAAATGCCTAAGACCGTACACGGAATCGAGCGGGGGTTTTTCCCCTTGCATCTTGGGGGTTGGATACACCGGGAAAGAAGCAAACCCCCTGCCCCCCTTCAAGGTCGAAAAGGTTTGGACAAGTCCCCAACACTGAGAGTTTTTGGAGGACCCCTGAGTAATGAATCTGGAGCCCCTTCGGTCGTCATCTTAGTTCTGGCCCCTGGGCAATAGGACTTTAAAGGCAACAGCCGGTTTTTCTGGTTTTGAGCCCAAAAGGGCCCTGATGAATCGCGGGGGCTTTCTGCTGAGGGGGAATTGGCCTCCAAGGGGGGCCGGTCCCCTCGGCGAGTTTGAACACCTTGTCATTTTAGACAAAATTAAATAAAGAACCATGCATTTAGGGGCGCATTTTTCGGGTAAATCTTGAGGGGTTCCAAGTGTTGGTGGGGTTAAGAACAGACGAAGCAAATACAAAACGAAAAGGAAAGCCCCTTTTCTGGCAGGTTTGTTTGGCTTCGGCGTTGCAGGGGGATACCTTTAAGCACGGGGGGTTTTTGAGGAAACACGAAAACATATTGGGTAGAACTGTTTGGGCAATCCTTGTCGGCACTTTACTTTAGTAGTGATGGGAATCTGGGAGGGAAAAGGGGACACCTTTAATCGGCGGGTTGTCTAATCGCGCGCTGACACGAGATACGGCCGTAGTCGTCCGTGGATTCCCGTTCCAGAAGGGTCCACAGATCTTCCCAGAATTAGCTCCCCCTTTTAATTTGTTTTGCATTTTTGGGGTCCCCTTTGTTTTTCACTAACCAGGCAAAAAAGAAAAAACACTTTTCGCGGGGGTCCGAATTTCAGCCTCGAGATACAGCTGAGTCTTGATAAGCTCAGGATTTTATTTGGCAAGTCGGCCACGACTTCTGGGGCAGAAGCAGGAGGACTTGACCCCTGATAGGTTTCTGGAATACTTCCAATTCGATAGCCTCGCTTCTGCGATCGCGGAAAGCGGCATGAACGGCTTGATGTGTGCCGTGCTGTCTGGGAATGTGGGAATGATGCTTGGCTACTCTTTGCTGCGACCGAAGCGGAAACACAATTTTGACTTTCTGGGAAGTGACTAGTTTCAAGCGCTCGCCCAGCAAGAAGTGAATCAGTTGGACCGGCCCAGGATACATGTGCTTGCGGAGCACAAGGCAGATGTCAATTACCGCCTGCCAGATCTCAGTGAGTTGGGGTACTATGCGACGCAGACCTTGCGCCTTGGCAAGGGACGGCAACGCTGGTTTGTAATGGCTGTTACACTCGGATGGATGGAATCCGCGACAGGCGCAAGGTTTGCTGAAGCGTGCGTGTTTGCTCAAGGGCTGGGTTTGCTGGACGATTTTTCAGCAGTTTAGCTGGTTTGCCTCGTTTTGTTTAAGGGAGTTTCTGGGTCCGGCTTTCGTTTTGCCAGCTTTGACAAGCCGGACATCTCTGCGGAAGCGTGGACTTTCCGAAAGCGCTTTGCGATTGCGAGGCACTTTGGTGACTTGGTGCATACTTACACAATCCGTCTCCAAGTGAGTGGGTGGCATCACCATCCTCGCCCTCGCGTTTGCAGGACTTGAATGGCAAGGGCGGTTGCAACGGGTGCGCCCCTTTGCTCACGGAAGTGGCTTGTGTCTGTGTGTGGGGATGGGGCTGAGGGTTTCGCACTGGAAAGAGGAGCCGGGTTGCCGCACCACATGCATTGCGTTCCCGCATGTGCAGGCAGTGACAGTGGGCGTTTCAAGCGGTGGCAAGATGGTTCGTGCCATAAATATGGGCTGATGTTTCCTCAGCGTGTGCGCAGAGTGTCTGCTGGTCGTGGTGGGGCCGCCTCTCTTGGGCCACATGGCACTCCGCTCGCGTTGCCCGACCGCCGTGGCACTCTCCTGGCGGTGAATTCTAGTCGGTTGATCAGATCAAGCAACTGCTAGCTTAGGCTGATGGTGGCTGCAAAGTCTTACCAGGCGGAGCCGCCTGGGTTCGCGGTCGGTCGCAGTCGCAGGTGGCAATATGAGGTCAACATATCCAGCAGTTTACAGCCAATTTGGGGCTCAGCTCTCAATCCCTTTTAGGCTACGCAAAAAAAGGCACCTCTTCAGGACATGAGGGGCTCGCCGCGTTTCCAACAAAACAAGGGGGCCGAACCCAAACGTTCCATGTCCATGAACCCCCCCGCCACAAACCTACAGGTAATTAAGGATGGGCACAACCCAAACCTTGTGCCAGGAGGCTGGGTGACCTTCCCTTGCATTTTGGTTGCACCTTCCACGTTGGGGTTTAATGGGTTTTGGACAGACCAAGTTTGGGGTTCAATAAGCACCCTGAGCTTTTGAGATACGGTTGCGCCTTCTGCCCAATGCGCAGACAACTTTTTTGGGGGGGGGTTGACATAATGGCAGCAGTTCCCCCCCCCCCCCCCCAAAGAATTTTCGGAGAGGGGGAGGGGCGGGGCGAACCCCTAATGCTGTAGCTACATGTTTTTTGTAGCTAGGGGGCTGTGGGTGGGCGGGGGCAGGGAGGGGGAATGTTTGAGTTGGAGCGCAAGTCTTGGGGAAGCACGTTGACCCCCCAAACCAGGCTCCTCTTTGGCATCCGCAGCATTGGCCGGTTAGTCAAAACAGGGGGCGTTTTAAAGGACGCCCGAATGAGTTTCTCCCAGAGCTGTTTGGTGCCGGACAGTCTTCGCAAGGCGCCTTCGGTGCTTGCAGCCCTCATCAGTCTGCGGGCCGACGTGACGGCGTTGAGCCGGGCTGGCTTCGGAGCGATATTCTTCTCGCGCTCGGCGGAACAGGCTGGGCTGTCCAATGGCAATCCGCAAAGGCGAATCATCATTCGCCCCCCCTCCATTTTGACACGCATGTAAGAACACGAGTCGCCTCCACACCCATCCCTGCTCATCGCCATTGCTGCAGCGAAGAGACGTGAACCGACGAGTCCAAACAACACAGCCCTTCCCAAATCTAACTTCTCCTGTGTACCTGTAAAACACATCTAGCCTGGAACGTCAGTGCTGTGAGTCGGAGGCGTCAAAGTTATATTTCCGTTCCTGTGGGCCCTTCAAACCACAATTTGGAAGACAATTTTGAAGAATATGCCTGGATCTGGTGTTGGTACACTGGCCTTTTCTCGTGAATGATGCGTCTCACTTGGAAGAGGCTGGTAAAGTATACCAGTTAAGGGGCTGTGTCGGATCCGGGCGATCGTTGACATGTCCAACCACCTGTCAACGCAGAGTCAACGCTTCTGTTTCTGCGCACCGGCCGAGGCTGTTCAACATGCGCCCCAATCCAAAGAGGAAACCACTACAAGCGGCCCGTTGCGAAGCCCAAGGATCTTGCGGATTTGGCGCCCCTTTCAGCCACATCAGCCACCAACTTCGGCCCCAGGTGGAACTGCTGCTGAGCGCCCGCGCCGCCCTGCACCCCACGCTCTTCAACGGCGTGGCCGCCCGCGCCAGCTCGGAGACCGTCAGCGCGCTGCTGCGCGCCAGGTGGGCTGGGTGCAAAAGTTTTAGTTATTCAACGAACCGTGTTCTTTCTTGGCCACAAAGAAACAAGAAGCGATGTTTTGAAGAAAAGTCAAACACAAAAACAAAAACAACAAACAAACAAGAAGCAGATGCACAAGAATGGCTTCAGCATTTCCAAGACGGAGGACGTGTTGGTTTCCTTCGAAGGGAAAGCAGCAGGTTCTTCAAACAAAATGTTTGAAGAAGGGGCTGTCCCTGGCCAGGTGCGAGGTGTCCAACAGCGGCTCGAAGCAATCGGGGAGTGGGGAGGAGGAAAGGCCTTCGCTAAATCGACTTCGTGGTTGAAACTGGGCCTATGGCGCCACATGTTGCTCTGCTTTTTGGAACTCAGGTTGGACTGTGGCTGCGTTCTCCCGGACAGGCAAAGCACACCCGAATGCCTACCGCCTTTCATAGAATCGGAGGAGGGCCCACGACCATTTCCCTATAGTAAGGAGAATTGCCAAACGAAACTTTAGCTGTTGCTTTGAGTTGGCGGTTGCTAGAGTAAGTCATCTACCACCAGAGAAACACATGTGCAAACCTGACCCTTTGTGTTTCCTTGGTTTCAGGTGCGACCTTCGTGGAAACAGGAGAAGTGCCCGACAGATTGTTGAGTGGCACCCGGTGTTTCCCTTTTTGTTTGGCGGGCTCCTCCCAAGAAAAGCAGGCTTGCAACCCCAGAATGGATCCTTTTTGGCTACTGGTTGCAGCCGGGGAGGGGGGGGGGAGGATGTTTCAGCCCAGGGCCCTGCACGAGGGAACCCATGGGCAAGCACCAGTGTTCAAATGTGCCATGAGCAGTGCACCACTTGGACATTGCTTTAACCATCGCAAGAGGCCTTCATAAATGCTTCCAAAGAAGTGGCCGTGTCTATCTCACTTTTTCAACAATACACCGCTGAATTTCCAACAATGACAAGCATTTTTGAACAGCATGCACATATTGAAAAGCAAAAAAGATGCTGCCTGTCACTTGGCACATGCGAGGGGTGGCCTACGGCGCCTTGCACGGTGTCACCTTGCTGGCGCGTGGCAACCCGCACAAGTACGAGAATGCGAAGCTGCTTTTGGCGCATCGGGCCGATCCCAACCATCGAGCACGTCCAAACTTGAAATATTTGCTCGGCCTGGAGTGCAAGCTGGCTTCATGGCGGCTTGGCCAATGCCCAGTGGCGCCCCGTGGCGCCTTTTTTTGGGGGGGGGGCTTTTTTTGGGAAGGGTTCCCCTGCAAACCCAACCAAACCAAGAAGGATGCACTTTTTGCCTCAATGGCCACTGGGCATCTGAGAATGCGAGGGTGTTGTCAACAATCGCGGTAGGTTTTTGGCATTTCGTGCCTCCGAATGGGTCCCACAGCCAGCGCGGGGTCAAACTGCCTTCGAAAGAAACTGGCAAAACAAATGGCAGCCAGGGGTTGGAGATTGCAAAGGTGGCTTAGCGGCAAGGGGCCGGGATCCCATTCCTCGTCCTTTCAAGTCAGACATGAAACCAGGACCTGACAAGCCAATGCTACCCCTATTCTTGACGACATGTTTAGTGACTGGATCGGTTGCAACCTAGGGGTGCAGTGGGAGTCCTTGGTTTGGCACCCTCAGCACGGAAGTCGCGATCCCCCGCTTTCCGAGCGGAACTCAGCCATTTTTGCCCAGCCAAGCGCTGACGAGGATAGTCGACATCTATGGCTACGAGACCTGCTCTACCATGGCGCGTACTGGCGCCAGCTTGGCAGGAGGGGCAAACAGCCCGGTGGAAAACTGGTGTAACTGGACCCCGCTGGAGACCCGGCGTGAGGATCTTGAAGCAGAAGTGGTTGATTGTGTCAAGTGGTTGGCCCAACCGAGGGAAGGCCTTAGTGACATTGATGAGTCCCACCTGCAGCGCCCAGAATTGACCGGAGCTGACATTTGGAAGTTTTTTAGCTTTTGTCTCTTGTTGCAAGCTGTCAACAACATTCACAACCTCGCTACAGGTTGACCAGTGTCCTTGTCGTTTTGCTGCGCAGTTGTTGTGTTTTGAGAGGTCTCGCTGCATCGGTCGCCATTTAGATTTTCCTTTTCCACCAGACCAGAAGGAAATCACCATTCCAGCAGACCTTTCCACTGGATCCAGCATCTCCTGCTGGACCGTTTGTGGGCCAGGTTTGACTCCACTGGGAGCGGCCGCGCTGACGGGAGACTCGCAGCTGGTGGGCCTTTTGCTCTCCGCGCGGGCGGAAATTTCGCAGAACGACAGGGGGGACTTGCCTCATGAGCTGCTCGGAAGTGGACGTTCCGGGGAAAGCGAAGTCGCCTTTGGCTGGGGGATGCAACCGAAGCCCAGTTTAAGGTCCCAGATCAATTCCTAAGCTTCCTTCAAGGGCGCGCAGGAACAGACCAACAAGTTTGCTTTTGGTTGCTCACATGTCTTTTTTGTTTTCTCGGCCCGGGCATTCATGACAAGTGTCATTGGGGCTGCCACATGGAGAGCTGCGACAGTAACCCACACAAGGTGAACCAAAACCAAAGACTGGCAAATTGAAAGTTGGGTATGACAAAAAATCCAACCAGAAATTGAAATAGAAGCGACGAGAAGTCCTGTTCGGGTTTAGGTACGTTCTTCTTCGGCTCGACAGGGCGCTATTCCGGCAAACCATCTTTGCCAAGGCTCGCAGCAGCTTGCGGACACACCCACCTGCTGCCGCTCTTGGAGACCATGCATGTCTAAGCGTCGGAAAAAATAAAAGGGGGGCGATCTTCACACGGCTGTAAGCCAAAAATAGGCAAATAGGTACCCAAAATGGAACCATGGTACATGGTACATGGAAACATGGACTAGAACCTGCGGTCCCTGGTGGCTTAACTTTGACCCATACCCACATTAGGGACCCAGATTTCTTTCTTTGCTCTAAGAGAGTTTCATCCCCAACGCCAGTTCCGCGAGAGATATGCACTATGATACGGCTATTGTATACAGGGTATGTGCCCTATCTTCCGCCGGGGTCCGAAGGGACAGTAGAAACCATATTGGACTTGCTTAGAATGAAGCTTTGTTGATTCATGTGTGTGTGTGTGTGTGTGTGTGTGTGTGTGTGTGTGTGTGTGTGTGTGTGTGTGTGTGTGTGTGTGCTTGTTTGCTCACTCTTAACGGCTCGGCTATATGCTGTGTGAAGCCGGTCTCTCCCGCGCGCCCCTTGAGAAAGATGGGGCATTGATTGGAGACTGCGCTGCTTGCACTCTTATGCGTGCATTTGGCCTAAGATGGGCCAGCTTTCGTCTCACAACTCGAGAGCATGCAACTCAAAGCAGTTGTGCCTACCGGCGCCTCGTGAGACATGATTCCCGTTGGCAAAGGTCGCGCCGTGCATTTGGACAAGTAATTTCTATCGTGGTATGTGTGCTTAGCTCAATCCACGAACCAAGGATTGCGGCACGCTGCCCTGACTGCTGCACACATCTCGCATCAAGCCGTTGAATGCCCTAGGCATCTCAGGCAAAACGTGGTGTTTGCTGAAGTGCTCGTTGCGGCGCATGTCTCAGGGTCGGGCAGGGTTGGGATCTCCTTTGGATGCTTAAACCATTTGGTCAGCCCGGACAAACCACGAGCAACGCGATGGGGAACCTCTGCGCTCCGGAGCTGGAGCTGGATTGCCAGCTAGCTTGTGCTGGACATGTGCACACCTGCAAGTACCCCATGTACTTGGTGAAGGCTGGACTTTGGGACATGAAGGCTTCGAGGGGGGGGGGGGGGGAGGTTTCTGGAAGGCAAATTGCGGCAACTCGTTGTCCCAGATCAAGGTTCCATTGAGGTCGAAGCGGGCCACGTGCCCCTTGCTCGCTCGCTCGCTCGCTCGCTCTTCCCTTTGCCATAGGGACTAACCCCAGAGTTGAGGATCCCCATGCCCAATTACGAAATCCATATATTTTGCCCAGCCAAGCCATATTAACTTCTTGATTTCCACCCTACTTCCCCCAACCGCTAAGAACTCAACATAGGCTTGTGTTCATCAGCGTGTTCAGTTTTGGGTGTGAAGAGCTTGCAATGCACGTTGCCCTGTGGCGTGGGCGCCTTGTTCAAAGGTGTACGTACACTTAGCATGTCGGTTGATCCAATGTGCGATGGATGCCAGCATTTTTCACCCCCTTTAAGAGCCACCAGCAATCTGAGGCAAGACACCCTTGAGGCCCAGGCAAAGTGCAAGTGTCCCCCCCCAGATGAGGCCACAATAACCCAACCTTATGCTGGGCTGGACATGCGCACCTTAGATTTTGGATCCGAAGCTGCTCCTGCAAGAGTGGCTATGAATTAGTCGCGAACCCATGGCAAAGGATTGGTAGGCATATCCAATCCCCATTCACCCCCTCCAAAAGTAGGTTTTTCAGTAGTGCCCTTTTACCCTTTTCTAACCTCTCTACTGGAGGACCTAGAAAACGTCTTCAGTGCCTCTGGTTACGGAAAACTCCGAGGGAAGCCGTTGATTAGGTGGGCTGCAAGGCCTGCCTTCAAACAGCCCTGTGTCACAGCCATCCAGGCTTTGTTTTCGGTCGGGGAGCCATATCCCAAAGAAACTCCCAGTTCAGCAACCTTTCTTATTGGGTTTCCGACGCAAAATGGGTAACCCCCAAAGCGGCGCTATTTTTTGTGCCGGGTTTCTTCTTGCTACTGGGAGCCCATTCCCGAATCATGAAGCGCTAGGTTTTCAAACAACACGAGAGAAACCAAACTCCGGGGCGCAAGCCATGTGAGAAGCGATGTTTAATCTAATGGAAGGGTTGATACAAAACGGGAACTGCATGTACTTTGCGAAGCAATCCTGGTTGGGGGCGTAGGCTCGCGTAGGCTGTTGCGCGTAGGCTGTCGTGTCACCCCTCGCCCCTCGCATAGGCTTTTCGCGTAGGCATTTGTTGAGCAAATCATGACTCAGTGCTGTCTGCCAAGTATAAAGGAATTTGTTTTTTGCCTTCCTTCTGTTTGTTCTGCAGTCTTCGCGTAGGCTCTGCGTAGGCTCCGCGTAGGCCCCGCGTAGGCATCCGCGTAGGCTTTCCAGGCACTTGGAGTACGTAGAGGCCTTTTCTAGCAGCAGACGTGGGGCTCTCACTTGTACTGCAAAGGTGATCTTAGAGCTGGAGCAGCCAAAACTGCACTTGTACTGAAAAGTTGCAGTAGCTGCCGAAGCGCAGTTCGACACTTGGATTGAACTGAACATCTGCCCGCGTAGGCTTGCACGTAGGCTTCCGCGTAGGCTTCCGCGTCGGCACCTGGAAGCTGACTTGTGCTCGCGCAGGCACCCTTTGCA